AATTCTAGAACCTTGTCAACTGCCAGCACAAATAAACTAACAGACTGCCTTCTCATGCTGTTGATTTTGTCAAGCATATAATGGGTCCAATAAAAAAAATTAAGCCCATCAAACATTGATCTAGACAGTTTGACAATCCATAAACCAGCTAAAGCAGAGTTACTGTGGTACAACTGGAGACTTTATTAGTCATTGACCATATATTACTCATTTTTAAAAACAAAAAACACTTAGTATTGCCAATCATGATTTTAAAATTAATAAACAATTACAGCATGACTTGTTTGTCATAGAGTCATACAGCACGGAAACAAGCCCTTTTGTCCAACCAGTCCATGGCAAACTAAACCAGGCCCACCTGCCTGCTTCTGGCCCATATCCCTCATTATCTTCTTTGACAACTTGTCAAGAAGCAATTAAATCATTCACACATTAACAGTGAGTATTTTAATTGGAAGTTAAGGGAAGTATGAATACATTCTAAACTAAGTGGACACAAGACAGGTTTGCAAGCTGAATAAGAAAATCATTGAGTTCTAAGTGTAGGTTGAATGGTAAACTGTAGACTATACCCAAGCAAGAATTTATGGCGAAGGGATTAATATTTGCCAGGATACCTCATCCTGGTTTTCTCTACTCTTTCTTGGGTGAACAGTTATTTTTTAGCAGTTCTCTTCCTTTCCATAATTATTTTTACCATGTTATTAAGCCCTTATGGAGCCTGGGGCCTTTACTAATTTCCTTCTATACGAAACCACTTGCTTCAAGTGTCAAGATGCTGCTTGTTATTATCCTTCCATTTCACTGGCACTTATCCAGCTCTCCAAGTTATTTAGATAATTCCACACCAAAGGAATTTCTTCAATGTCCAATCTAAACTCTTTCTGAATTAACCAATGGTTTCTGTCCCTTCTTTACTTCACCATTCCTCTAACTGAAACTCTGTTGCTCATGTGTATTATGGACTATTTTCCATTATATTTAAAATTTTACTATTTGAACTTCTTTTTCCATCTCTATACTATTTTGGAATGTCTCCAACTACTGTTTAAGGCTGTTTACTTCAACTTGAGTGAAATCTAGCTAGGCTTCTACTACTCCTGGAAAAATAAACTAAAGAATTGGTTTTGTGATCTGTTATGTCCTTCATTTCAACAGTATTCATGCAAGGAGTTAATAGTTCATAGTTAAATAACTTCTGTCTGACAGTGCTACAAGGCTCCAAGATTAAACTCTGGTTAGGATCCAACAACTACAGCAACCATCAGCCTTCAACATGCAAGGATTGTACTCATGCCAAGAACAAGTATTCATCAACTGGCTATGATAAATCATAAAGAATGCAAGGAAAAGAAACAGGAGTAGGCCATATGGCCTGTTCTTCCATTCAATACAATCATGACCGATCATCAGTTTTAACTCCACTTTTCCATCTCACATCCCGTGATTCAGAGAAATCAAAACTCTGCTTGAAATATATTCAACAATACAGCATCCATAACACACTAGAATTCCAAAGATTTATTACGCTTAGAGTGAAAAAATTTCTCCTCATTTCAGTTCTAGATGATCCATCCATTATCCCAGGAATATGCCCTTCCCCCTACCCAGCCTCTGTGTTCTAGACACCCCAGTCAGGGAAAAGAATCTTTCATTATCACCCCTGTCAAGGCCTTCCTGAATCTTATATGTTTGAATGAGAGCACCTCTTAACATTTATTGTACTATTTCCAGCTAAAGTATACATTTTCCTTAACATATAGAGACTGATTCTCTACAAAGTTATCTATACAGGGTCTCACCAAAACCCTGTCTTTCTACAAATGAGATAACAAGATGTGGAGCTGGATGAACACAGCAGGCCAGGCAGCATCAGAGGAGCGGGAAAGCTGACGTTTCGGGTCTGGACCCTTCTTCAGAAGGGTCTTTCTACAACTGTAAAAGGTCAAGAGGCCATTTGCCTTCCTAATTGCTAGCTATAGCTGAACATTAATTTTCTGAGTTGCTTGTAAAAGTACACTCAGGTCCCTCTGAACAGCAATACTTTTCTTTCAACCAAAGTGAATAACCTCATGCTTTGCCATTTATATTCCATCTGACATATTGTTGTCCACTCATTTTGTTCTTTATTTCATTGGTTATGGGCATCACTGGCTAGGCCAGCATTTATTGTCTACATGAGGAGGCAATGGCCTAGTGGTACTATCACTGGACTGTTAATCCAGAGACACAGGTAATGTTCTGGGGACCTCAGTTCAAATCCTGCCATGGTGGAATCTGAATTCAATAAACACTTGGAATTAAGAGTCTCATGGTAATTATTAATCCATTAGGGGTAAACAACAAATGCTGTCTTAGCTAGTAATGCCCTCATCCCAAGAATGAATTTAAAAAGAAATTCCTAATTGCCCAGAGGGTCTGGAGTCATATGTAAGCTAGACCAGGAAAGGATGACAAATTTTCTTCCTTAAAAATGACTTTCATGAATCAGATGTGTTTTTCCAACAATCAGCATAAGACTCTTAATTTTAATTGAATTTGAATTCTGCCACGGTAGGATTGTTCTCCAGAACATTGCCTGGGCATCTGGATTAATAGTCTTGAAATAATACCACTAGACCACTGCATCCCTTCATATGCCTAGAACATCATCCAGCAACATTACCACAATGCCACCACCTCCCTAACCTGTTTACATCTCTTTGCAGCTTCCATGTCTCCTCCTCATAGTTTATGTTCCCACCTAGCTTTATATCATCAGAAGACATAGATACATAGTTCTCCATCTCTTGATCTAAGCCATTAATATAGATTGTTAATAGCTGAAGCCTTAGCACTGATCTTTGCAATACCCCACTAGACACTGCCTGTCAACTTGAACGTGTCCCATTTATCTTTACTTTCTCTTTTCAGTCTGTTAATCAAGCTTCTTTCAATGGTGATATTTTACCCCAAACTCCATAACTCATATCTTGTATATTACCTTTAGTTTGTGAGGCACTTTATTGAAAATTTCACAATGCATCAATAACCTAACAATGATACTTTAATTGCATTGCTAACTAATTTATTAGTCCACTTCGGACATATTGCTCAAGAATCCTCACATGCCATATTTAATGAGATCATTTTTGCCAAACTGGAAACAGCAGAACTGAATGGTCATAATGAAGGCCTGATGCTTGCCAGGCTGGTCAACAACTCAAACTAATCAGAAACATTACTATTTTACAAGTCTTTTGATCAACATGTCACCAAATAAAAACACCCAGTATCCTGTCATTTCTGAGTCCAATTTAACCATATTACTTATGTAAAATTGATCAACAGTACCTTACAAGAGCATAATGCCATGTACATATACAGCAAGGAATAAAAATATGAAATAGCAATAAGAATATGGGCTATTTCATACATTTGAAAAATCAAATTTTAACAAACTCTATCAGGTAGAAATTCATCAAAATGGTCCAAATTCCAAACTTATCCAAAATGCACCTATGCACCACTGAGAACAACAATATTTTCCTTTTTAAAATAGATCAATTAAGGTATTTAGAGACAGAGATAAAATGATCTATTCAAGTAAGAACTTTCATGTAGATTCTCAGCAGACAAAAATAAACCAGATAGTATGGAACTGAGCAAAGATTTATGGAATACTGCTGAATTTTATCATTCTATTTGGGTCATAGTTCGTAAGGATAATTTAGAGCCTGAATCCACTCTGTCGATTTGGGATTCTCAATCACAAATACCAAAGGCATTTTAAATTATTGAACCCAGAAACCTCAACCAGAGCATCAATGTAAAACCTGCCCACTTTTAAATGCAAGAAAAGGACGTGAAGATCTTAGTTGTGTATGTCTGCAAGAAATACTGACTTTTTAAAAATAAAACTTTACCATACAATATCGTCTACACTGCGTTTCAAACACAAGGGAATGTATAATATCTCAACGATTTCTCCCTTTCTGTGTTAAATTGCCTGATCTGGGAAAATAATCGTCTGGAAGCAATCACTGAATTGAATCAAACTCAAAATGAAGTTGTTCGAAGAGACAATAAAGTATTTGCTATGGCATTAACATTTTAATAAAAAAAAAGTAGACGAAGAGATGCAAATTTTCATCGTTTCGAAGCAGAGTTTACTTCTCTGAAGAAAATAAAGCGTCCAAAGTTATTGAACTAAAACAGGCCGTTATTCATACAACGAATACCACTTAACTTTCACAAAATTCGAAAGTCTCCAGCAAAACAGCTCGGAGCCTACTGCCATGAGAAAGGGGCTAAGGGGTCGCACAAAGGGGTGGAATGGGGAGAGGAAGGAGAAGCCGCTGTTCTTGCTCTAGTTTACAGTGCGAGGACCAGAGCCTGCAGCCTTGCTCCATCTGCTCAGGAGGGGACGCTCAGTACGCTACCTCCACCAATCTTCTGCTGCGATTAACCTGTTTATTGAATTATCCTTCAACTGCACACGCTGTCACGCACTAATCTTACTGTGGTTCCTCTTTTTTTTTCAAAAAAAGAAAAATTCCAATTAAATAATTTGATAAACAATTTGCATTAAAATCTGCTATTTTTCAGAATCCACGTGGCCTTTAAAACAATAAGTTATCTGTACAATTTACCTGATTTAAAAAGTTAAACTCAGATTTACAAACCAGAGTGTGTTTGAAATGGGAAATTTAAGTCCCCTTAAAATGCTCTTAACTGGCAATGAGGTATATGGGAATAAGTGAGATTTACTGGCGTGTTCTTGCTGCTGGATTGAGTGATTCACGCGTTGACAGTGAGTAAGATCATTTACTGCAGGATGTGTGTACCAGAAGATTTAAGAAACCAGGTTCCTATCCCAGCTAACGCTATGCAAATCCACCGGCTCTAGGTAGGTATTTGCAATGGCGTCTAAAAGGAAGGCATGCGATAAAAATGTAGCACCATCAGCAAATACAGTCGCATCTCTGTATTCAGACAATTCAAAAATGCAACCCTCTCACCTTTATGATTTTGGACGCTGTTTGCATCTTCAGAGAATACTCCTATCACTGAGTTATTGAAGGACGATTCAGTAGTGGTTTGCATATTCGAACTTATAAAATAATTGTCTCAATTACTCCGTGTATTAGTTTTAAAACGAAGCACTTTTCTGCCTTTTGCAGTCGAAACCTGAGGCTGGTCCTTTTTTTTGGACTTTCAAAGTCTTCTTTGACGAGCCCAGTGTCGGAGACGATTAAGGATCCCCGTCGCGCTGTTTCTGTACGACCTCACAGGGACACGTTTGGTCCCAGTCGACCCATTTATGCCCCTTTTCTCCAGTCACTAATCCAAGAAAGTCGAACCGTTAGGTCAGCTTAATGAATAATCCTAAAAGTTACGTGACAGCCGTTATACCACATACATATTATCGTAAGCATCACTTCCTCGTTAGTCTCAGCCTATGAGCTGTGGTTTCACTATGAAGCAATGTTTTACTTTCAGCAGACAGCTTGCTCTCTCGCTTACATTGTAAAAAAAATCCACTCCAGAAGAGGATTGGCAACAAGGATGCTTTCTGTCAAATCACACCTGCTCTGAAAAAGGGCCACGTGCATAATCCTGCACTGATCAAAGAAGCTGTACAATACAGTGGGCCTGGCAGAGGGGCAGTTTTCTTTTAAACCGGCAAAAAAACGCTAACAGAAAGACATGATCGATGAAGTTTACCGTTCCTTGTAGCCGATCTCATCACCAAAACCTTACTGTAAAGGTTTTTAATGAACGATTCATCCTTAGCCTAAAACCCGCGAATGAAATTCTAAATTCCCCTCCCCATTATTTAGAATCTCTGTTTTTGAAGCTGAATTGGTACTTGACTATTTTTCACGCTAGCGTTGAATTGAAAACTGCACCATTTACGCAAATTTCTGCAAGCTGCAACGAAATGCTGTCAATTCAGTGTTGTTTGTGCACTCATTTTGTGCTTTCATCAACTATCATGTATATACTTGACACGATAATATAACAGGAAAGTCATAACGAACTTAAAATGATAAGGATTCAACTTTTTTAAAAACTTGGATATAATGCTAACATTGTGTTGCTTGTGTGGGTGTATTAGCATTGCTGCTTCAGCCACTGAGGTGCAGCAAGGGTGGTTTAAAGAGCTGTGTCAGACAGTGAGTGTATATCAAAATTCCATTACATTGCAACCATCCTGCATGGGTAGATGTTGCAACCCAGATGACAATTTCAAGCCTTCCTGCTCCTCTGATGCTGCTTGGCCTGCTGTGTTCATCCAGCTCTACACCTTATTATCTTAGCGCAACATGCACCCGATTGATGAAAATAACCAAAGTGAAGGATCATTTTGAATTTGGAACAATGTACATTATTCTCAAGTACATTGTGCAATTGAATGGACTCACATTGTCATCAGGGTAATGCAAGACCAGATTTTGTCAACAGTTGTACATGTGTGGAATTCCAGAGGAAATGATGGATGTGGGTCTAGTTACAGTGTTTTAAAAGACATTTAGATAAATACATGAATAAAAATTTGTTTGGAGGGATATAGGCCAAAAGCAGGCAGGTGGGACTAGTTTAGTTTGGGTTTATGGTAGGTATGGTCTGGTTGGACCAAAGGGTCTGTTTCATTATGGTAAGACTATGACTCTAAGAAACTCCATTCAATCAAGCAGTTGAACAACATCCTATTTTTCCATCATTGTAGGCACATCAAAGGATGACTACTTGGGAATAAACACTAACCAAACTAATGTGCTTTTAAAATGCCATGCCACCAGTAATTCTGATATAAACGTCATCCATGCCCTCTGAACTTGACTATTCCATTGCAGTCCTGAGTGGTGTCCCACGTACTACCCTCTGCAAACTTGAGGTCATCCAAAACACTACTGCTTGTGTCTTAACTCAGACCAAGTCCTGTTCTCCTGTCGCCATTCTTGTTGACCTACTTTGGCTCCCAGTCAACCAAAGCACTGATCTTAAAATTTTCCTTATTTTCAGATCCCTGCACAGCCTTAAACCTCCCTGTATCTGCTATTTCCTCCAATTTCACAACCCTTATAGATACCTAAACTCCTCTAATTCTAAATTCTTGTGCCTTCCCAATCATTATTGCTGCATTATTTGATTGCCATGCTTTAGTTGCTTAGGCTCCTAGCTCTGGAATTAACTCTCCATGCCTTTCCAATTAGCTTTTATCCTTTAAAACACGTCTCAAAAGCTATTCATTTGGCAAAGTTTGTCTGAATGATTGTCTTCTCTCTGCTCTATGTCATACTTTGTTTTATAATGCTCCTGTGAAGCATCCTGTGATCTTTTATTATTACATTAAAGATTCTGTATAAATATGTTGTTATTGCAGACCCATGCCATTAGGTGGAGCGTCATTAAGCTCACTGTAAGGTTCATAACTAAAATGGCTTAGGTGCCTTGATAGGTCCAGGGTTTTGCTGTAACATGCATTAGAATCCTGCACATGATTGAGACCTGCCAACCAGAGAGGATAGCAGCTGTCTAGTTTGCCTCATGCAGTTTTCCTTTCCATGACTGGATACCAGATTTCAGAATCTCTGACCTTTCCAGAACCAGCAGGGAACACTGACCTATATCTATCTCTATTATGTGCTGGTCTGGCCACCAGTGCTTGATAATATACTTGCGTATGTTGTGCCACTCACAAGTTCCTCTACCTTACTATCTATCTATCTGAGATTCTGATCTCCAGTCTGGTTCCTGAGAGGGTTGTAATGTGTGACAATACTTCTTGAGGTGGTGATGTCAGCTACAGGGTATCTGTTTCAGCAGATTCAAAGTAAATTCTTCCCATTAAGAGGGATGTAAAAAGAGGAACAAGTGTTAACATGGTAATGAGAGGCTGCAGATTCACATATGAAAGCTTGCATTGAAGCTTTAAAGCTGACTGTTGTAATTGCCAAGGCTGGAGGATTTCACTTTTGTTCTAGTCCCACTACTCCACAGGAAACAACATAAATTAAAAATACGTTCCCAATTACCAAAATGGACAATTAAATAGCTTATCTACGTAAGTTTTAAATATGAAATATCAATTAGCCAGGTTTCTTAATATAATCAAGTATTGGATAATTATGAAAACAAAACATATTCAGTGAAGTTGCAGTAAGTGGTTAATTTACACAATAATCTGGACGTATAATTACTTATTCCTGTAAATATCTCCAAATCACACACACATATTCTTCAGGAAATAAGAAAAAAAATGAAAGCGGTATCTGCAGAGATTGGCTTTCTGAAATAAACATTTTGGCCAATGGCTATTCTTGAAGGCAAAGTTTAGGATGTTCCTAAGTCTACCATTCTTGATGTTCTGGCACGTATGGTTAAGTCATGAATCACACAATGTTGTCTCCAAAATCTTGTAGATGTAGCTTGCTCAGGAAATACACATTGAGAAGTTTCTCCAATCACTCTTACAGAAACTCAAAAACAGGATTTTCTTTTCTGAAATGGGAGAGATCAGCTGAGCAGCCATTCCTAGAAGAATTTTTGTCTTCCAACTAATAGCGGGTACCAAAAAAATGCTTTCCGAGCCAGTCACTGTTCAAACAGCGCAAGCAGGGATTTACAGCAAAGCGAGCAGTTATCACCAATCAAGTGATTTTTAGAGATAGTAGGAACTGCAGATGCTGGAGAATCTGAGATAACAAGGTGTAGAGCTGGATGAACACAGCAGGCCAAGCAGCATCAGAGGAGCAGGAAAGCTGACGTTTCGGGCCTAGACCCTTCTTCAGAAAAAAAGTGATTTTTAGGAAGCCTTGTTAAGAAAAATCCCTTTGTCATTTTTGCTATAATTTTTCTATTCTTTGATGGGATATGGGTATCACTAGCTATGCCAACATTTATTACCCACCCTCAAGTGCCCTCAAGAAGGTGGTCGTGAGCTACCTTCTTGAACCACTTCAAACCATTGCCTATATTTACATAAAACAGATAGGCTGATGCAATTGGCCAGACAATCTACAATCACAGAAAGCCCAGGTTCTCAGGATTGTCCACGTTGATCAATTTCAAGGCTGTTGCTGACTTTGGACTTCCTGTGCTCCCCATCTCTTCAATGTATCATCCTTTGTCCTTCTAGAATCTATTCCAGTGCAGTGCCTTTGTTTTTATTTTACTAAATGTTCCCTTTTCTATTTACATGTATTCAAATTACTATACTCAATGTGCTCACTTACTTTGAAATTAGTAACATTATCTATCACATTAATGATAGCTAGATTTAGCAATACCACTGACTTCAGCAAACATTGCTTGAGGAGGGAGCCGTGCGCAAATTTTAGGATTCAGTTTATTATAGAGTTTAATTCATCTGTCTCCCAATCAAAATGTGAATGATGAAAATATCCTAGAACAGTGATCAATGATTTCTTATTGATATTAATATACCCAAAGTCTCAGCTTGTTCCCTGTCAAAAATTTCAGATTCTTTCCAACTCTGTCTCAAATAAACTGTGCTAGTTTTTCATAAATGTGTTTATCTGAGTTAACATCTGTCACTTGAAGATCCCACATCCTGCAGGAACCAAGCATTATTGTCCCTTCCTGTGCAGCTATTTTTACTATCACCACAACCATTCGATTCAGTGGTACAAGCTACACATAGGCTTCCAGTTCTTCTGTTTGAGTCAAGTGCTGCAGCAGGTGAGAAAGATCAAACAATTGCACATATAGATCCCCAGATAAATACCATGAATACTGGCAACAGGATCATTTTAAAATTAGTTCCAAAATCGAATTTGCAGACAGCTTCCATGCTGGATTGTTCCAAGGTTGTAAATACAACCATGATTCTAGTGTTCTTTGTGAAGAAGAAACAGGCCAATATAGATGGTGTCATAACAAGGTGTAGAGCTGGATGAACACAGCAGGCCAGGCAGCATCAGAAGAGCAGGAAAGCTGACGTTTTGGGTCTGGACCCTTC